CTAACTAACTAACTAACTAACTAACTAACTAACTAACTAACTAACTAACGGGCTAAGAGATGGCTCAGTGGTTGGGAGCACTTGTTCTTACAGAGAGCTGGGGTTAGATTCCCAGCACCCACATGGGAAATCAGTTATTCATGACTCCAGTGCCCGGAGATCCGTCACCCTTTTCCCTGCCAGGGGCACCAGGCACCATGGTGCACAGATATGCACACAGGCAAAACATTCATATACATAAAAGAAAATAATAAATCCAAAGGATAAACAAATAACTAAAACTAAAAATACATTTTTCCTCCTCACAGTTTTGTCCTCTCTTTTACAAACTAAGCTGCTGAGAATAACAGGATGTTTGGGAGCTGGAAAGATGGTGAAGAGCTAACTTTGATTGACAGTTTCATGGGATTAAGACAAACCAAGGATCCCAGCACTCAGGGAGGCAGAGGCAGGTGTATCTCTGTGAGTTCCAGGCCAGCCTGGTCTACAAAGCCAGTCTAGGACAGCCAAGACTACACAGAGAAACCCTGTCTCAAAAACAACGAAACAAAACATAACAAAAATACCGTGAGTGCCACCATTCCTTGGGCTAGGGAGGGAGGAAGAAAATCGTTCTGAGCCAAAGCGTTCTTTTCCCTCTGGTGGCCAAAATGACCACTGCTTCATGCTCCTGACCCCATGCACCTGGAACTGAGCCAAAACAAACCCTTCCTTCTTTAATTTGCTTTTGTTAGGCATTTTGTCTCAGTAACCAGAAAAGTAAATACTATGTAAGGATTCAAATGAAGGTGCTGTAGGGCCATAGCCTTGCTGCCCTTAAAACTAACATAAGCAAACAAAACAACACACACACACACACACACACACCCCACCCAAACAAACAAATGAACAAACAAACAAACAAACAATCCTCACACAAAAACAAAACCCCCAAACTAACATAAGCAGTTAGGCAGCAAAGCATGACAAAGGGAAGGCTACAGTTAATCAGAGAAATTGCTACAAGGGGTCCTAATTGTATCCTTGGAAATGAAACCCAGGGAGGGATTTGAGTTCAGGAAACAGAAAGCTGGGGGTGTGAGGGAGAGTCTAACATGGTGAGAGTTTAAAAACGGTAGCTCCCACTGAAGTCTTCTGCAGCCAAGTTTCCCTGCGACTTTTCCTGTCCTCCGGCTCACACTTCTTCCTCTGACGCAAACCTTAGACGCCAGAAAGCCTTCCCCTGGCGTAGTCATAGAAACCGGAACCCTGTCTCCCCAAAGGTAGCCACAAAGCCTGAAAATGTCAGGCAGTCTGACAGAGTTTATCTTCATGCCTTCTAAATACTCTAAATACAGGCTTTACACCTGTAGATGGGTGCTGTGCCCAGCCTTCACCGGAGGAGCTCTTTACTGCAGTAGGCATCAGTTGATGCAGAAACCCCTCACTGGCCAACAGGCTGATAGTCCAAGCGGAGGGCTCAGCCCTATGCGGGGCAGCTGTGTCTCTCCCGCGCTCAAGGCTCAGGAATGGTGTGGAAAAGGAGGCGCAAATGTTAAATGCCTGGGATGGGAATGTGTGGATGGAAATAAGATGTCCTCTGGCTGTGACATGGCTGTGGTTGCACATAGGAACTCACTGTGATGGGGATATCTGCACATGACCAGAACAAGACTGTCAGCCCGATGTGGTGGGGCACGTCTTTCACTCCAGCACTCGGGCAGAAGAGACAAGTGGATCTCTGTGAGTTCGAGGCCGGCCTAGTCTACAGAAAGAGAGAGAGAGAGCGCCAAGACAGCCAAGGCTACATCGAGAAAAACTCTGTCTGGAACCTGGCCCCCACCAAAAAGAGAAAAGAATTGCTACAAGCAAGGACCAAGAAGGGTCTGAACAGACAGGCCCCTCTGGGGTTCCGCAATTCATTCTGTCTCACCAGGTCCCACTCTTCTGTCCAGTCACAAGCTATCTACACAGCGGATCCTGCCTTGTGTAATTTGAGCATAAAGTTGTATAGTGTCCCTTGGGTCTTTGGGTCCTCCACCTGAAAACTCCTGTGTCGAGTAAAGCTATGACGAAATGACTTTGTGATTCTTGTTCTCTTGTAAACCTGCCCTTTGCCAAGGAGCCTTCCGATGGGCAGGAGAGGGACCGCCTGGAGCATCTGAAGCAGCAGAAGCAGCTCAGAGCGGGAAGCTTTGTGCGAGGAACGCCCGGAGATGGATCGAAGTAAGGGCTGGATCAGCATGTCTGCATGAAGCAGGACAAACCAGAATTCTGTTCATGAAGCTGTAGCTTCGTGTTCCGGTCCTGCTAAAAAGTCACATGGGGAGGAGACTGGGCTTGCTGGTATAGACACCTGCAGTTTCAGCACTCGGGAAGCAGAGGCAGGAGGATTGCTCTAAGTTCTAGGCCAGCCAAGGCT